GGTGTCTCAAGTTGGAGCATTTAACCCAGGAAGAAACTGTATATATCGGTTTTCGGTATATCTGGTATATCTTACAGCAGTCCAACTGCAACTTATCAACCGAATTAACGGAATGGGAATTACGCAACGATATATTATAACGTTGTTGTATTTATCTTGAAGCTTGTCGAATTTTCTGGCTGTCGTTAACACGACGCTGGAGACCCTCGAACCTGCGTTCCGGCAGAGCTTGGATCTGATACGGAGTAAAACAAGTATCTCGATCAAGATAAAGCTGTACTTAGGGAAAATACGTTCCGATAGGTGGATTCTTATACGTACAGTTACGCTGATCCGCCAGAGTTGTCTAGCCACGCTAATTAAATTTGTGAAATACAGTAGAACCGCCATTACTTATCGTACGATTTCGTTACTGTTGGAATTGAAGGAAATAAACTCAATTTGTGCAATATTTGTTTATTAATTTAGAAAAGAAAAGAAAGGTAACGAACAAAAAGACTGTAAAATTGTTCATATTTTTTATACAGTTGCCTTCACTTTCTCAAAAATCTCTTGTTCGATAGATTGTTTGCTGCAACGAATACTTTCGGTCTTTTTTGCTGCGTCGGATATCCGTCACTTGGATCGATAGACTTCCTCGTGATTTCTATTATTTATGAATGTCATAGACTCTCGTGCTATAGTCACTCCCATAGTTTTTAACATACTTAAAATCGTATTAATGATGGATGTCTTTCCGCATTAGGGTAATTATTCGAAAGAAAGGCATGTGTACTAAAACTGTATTTTAAGATATTTACATTTGAAACTGTTCTATGTTCGACATTGGAAAAATGTTATCCCTCGCTAATATTCGCAACTTTTTCCCTCGATATTATTCGTAGAGTCATCCTCATCATTTCCTAGAGTTGATAGAATATCACAAATAATCATACTTAAACATTTCTTTAATTAAAAAAATTTAATAATATTAATTTTTATTTATTTTATTTTTTTTCTCTGTAACAAAATAAATCATGAGAAAGCACCCTCCCTGCCCTCAACAAAAATTATCCCAAATTATGTCTATTTTTTATTTTAAATAACACTTTAATTGAGACATCTTAGCTTGTAATAATTATGTCGTGTGATATTTATTTTATCCTGTAGTATTTTCACGCGGTACCCTTGCATTTATTTTGGCCAGGTCCAACGGAAGAGGCTCGTGTTTTAGTACTTCCTACACGATTGCAATTGAAGCAGCATCACCGTAGCCAACAGATTGAATAATTTCGTTAATTGCCTCGAAATGTGTTGCATAAAATGCAGCTGCTTTGAACTAAGTATCCTGTCTAGTTAACGATAGTTCAAACGGCAATGGAACATTCTACTCGAACGACTCTTTGACTAAAAAGCAACTTATATCCGCGGTGAATATGATAACTTTATGTTGTTTTTGTCGAAATCAAAAAGTTACAGTATTGCTGCATGTTTGTCATTAAAAATAGGTACTATTACTTTAGATACTGGAGCTGATTATGAATAATGCAAAATATAAACAGTCGTAGAAACATTTAATGCCAAAGTAATTTTCCAAATTGGACTAGATTTGAACTCCATAGAAAACCTGTGTCAGAGTGCATACTTGAAATGAATTGCACCACCAAGAAAATAATGATCAAAAGTAAACAATTCATTGATGCCAAAGAAGGACGTATTCCTTATTAAAACGTCAAAATACCATATTTTTCCATAAATCTGCATCCACGACGAAGAAAGTATTTTTCTAACGCAATAACCTGTGTTCACATTAATTCGTACAATACCGTCTATCCCGAAGGATAGCCTCGGATGGGCCCAGGTACGCGACAGTCCCTCCCTTAACTGTACATCGCTGGTGTCCCATTGTACGCGCGGTTCATTTTCGCTGAAACCCAGAAAGTACCTGTCGCTTTTAAGTATTTTACTACCAGTACCAGCCAGGCGGCATAGAACGTTTCTTTACACCTGACGACCGGCGTCTTCGCCGGGCACAGACGTCTAGTTTGACTTCGTAGTTTATTGCCCCTTTGGGGGCCTATCCCTTTGTCACCGATTTACTGTTCCACCGTCGAATCTCCGCGCTCCGGCGCATTGTCTCTCTAATTTAAAAAATGTTCGGGACATTAAAGGCTCGTCGTATCCGTCGAGACTACCGAAGGATGTACCTGTGCCCCGGATGCACCTATCTCGAGGCCATCGACGATCGATCTGTTCGTCCCTCGGGTTCGAAACACGGATCGAGCGTCTCCAATGGGAAAGGTCTTCGGCAACGATTGATGTCAACTCGTTCCGTCGTTGCTCCGACGGACTCGAAACGGAATACATACCGCGTACAGTAATTCACATTATTGATCGCGCGTTTCTCGAATATGCACATTTCCATTATTAGAACAAAGAAGGGCGTAAGAAGTGTGCACGAAACACTATTTCGTGATGCGTGCGCCGTACTAAAAAGCTTTCGAGTATGAACGAGGTATTATTTAATCAAATTTAATGCAAACGCGTCACCTTATGAACCCCGAAAGGGCGAAGAACATCTTTTTTTTACAATTATTATTCATCACAGAAGTCGTGAGTTCTCTCGCGTTTGAATATACATATGTAAATAAAACTCAGTCGCGTTTGTGTGTTGTAAATTTGTGGAGGAACGAGAACAGGGATCAAATTTCGTACACCTGTCTGTCGTAGTGTCACGGCCCGATCCCCAGCTAGTCTCAACGATACTTTGGAAGAATTCGCTGTATCTTGAGGAGACTTTTTCTTGCGCGACGTCCGGCTAGTCATATCCGGATTTCGGTTCGGGAAAACTGGAACTCTCGTTCGTTTGCCAAGTGGGTTAGATTGGGTCAGGTGAGGTTAGGTAATTATATACCTTCGGCCAGTCGCGTGGGTACGACACTAAAATTACTCACGAATTTCCAACTAACGAGCACTACCTTTGGCGCCACGGAGGTATCTCGTTTGTCTCCCGCGACAGATTTTCCGAAACCGCGGCATCATCGCGGGGGCCTTCCGCCGCGAGGGAATAAAGCTAAATAATAATATATTTTCACCCAACGAATCGTTTGGCGACGCTTCAACGTGGGTCTGATCGTCAAAAGACAAAAGTCAAAATACAAAAGACACGAAATTCATTTCTTTTTTATATTTTTTTAAAAATTGAACCGATCCTTTGACAGAATCAACGCTTTGACGCGTACATTTTAACCCCTAACTGGTATCGTGGAGTGCCTCGACATCGCGACTAAAATTTATTTATTTTGTGCAAGAAAGTTGACCGTCTTTTATTTTTTATAGCGTATAGAAAATGCTTGTTGTCCTTAAAGGGTTGATTCGTGTCCCTCCCAGTGGCGAATCTCGAAACAATTTTTGTCTCCCGAAGAAACGGAGCTTTCGCGTGCACAGTGCACGGAGAAGAAGCGTTCTCCTTCTCTGTCCGTCTCTCCTTCTCTCGCCTCTCTTTCCGACTCAACAAGTGGACCGATGTTTTCAGTACGGCGCACAGCCGACGAATAGCCGGAGATCCACCCACACTCGTAGTTCTCTTCGTCTCGTTGATACACGAGAAGAGCGTGGGCAAAAACGCTGGCCCTTCGCGCTAGGGGTTGCTTCCTGTGAGCCGTACACGAGAGACGCGGCGGGAGGAAAGAGGCAAAGCCAAAACGCCTGCAGGCCTGACGACGGTCGGTTTGCTTGGGGAGAAGAGGATACGTGCTCTCTTCGGGACCGAGAGAGAGGCCCGTTTCTAGCGATGGCTTTGAAACACTATCGATCGCAATCAAAACGAAAAAGTTGGATGTATGCCCGAAAATTGGGACCCCAAACAAGGCATTTAAAAAGTAGATAGATCGATTCTGATTATAGAAACAGCCAGGAGTCGACTATCGAACGTAGAAATGGACAGCGAGTTAAAGAGAACCACCCTTCAGTGGTGGGGATGAGCACCATGCATTTATACCGTAGATCAGTTCGAGCATATATTCATAGATCACTGAATTTAAATAAAAGATAATTTGATACGTTTGATGACTTTATACATGAAATATAATATCATGTAAATGATCATCACGATTGTATTTGGTGGAGTAAATACGACCACCCCGATTCTCGATGATTCTGACGCATAGATCAGGCTGTATCTCAAATCATGCACGTTTGCTTTGAGATACAGTAATAGTATCGAGTCATAAGATCTTGGTGATCTTGACTTGTACTTAATTTTTAATAACGTCGTGGAATCGATAAAGTTCAATTTCCAGTACAATATTCCCTTCAGTTCTTCCACTACGTTGGAATGTGTCGATCAATAACCAAATTTGTCCACTAAACGACAAATTACGAATTCTCTTGACCATAAATCGAAAGAAGTGCACGAAACGTTATTTGAATTGGGCAAGAATTTTGAAAATAAATTTTAATAGGTTGAGCAGCTGTTTATCTCTCCATGGTAATTTGTTAAGTAATAACAAACATAGTGGCTATGATAATTCAATGTTCCATCGCTTCTATGTAGAAACTCTATATTATTTAATGTTAGCGGCGTGAAATAATTGAAATATACTGATATTTAAATGGATATAACTTTTTAGAAGATTAACTCCTTTCGTTCGTAATGATATCTTTTGATAATTAACTTGCACCTAAAAGTTTAATTCATTGAATTATTACGTATGTAATAACCAAAAGATAAATAAAAAGAGAGCTACGAAACGCTCGTCTTTAAAAGCGTTATGGTTTTCTTGACAAAAAAAATTCCTAAAGATGGCACTAGAAATATCCCATTGAGAACCACTGGATGCTAAAAAGTAGCTTGTTCGAAAACTCGGAGGAAAGAGATTTGGAGGTTCCATCGCTAGCCGCGCGCCTGCCGCGAGTAGTGGGGACGCGACGGTGAAAGTGGTGGGGGCTGGAATCGTCGGTAGGGGAGGGGTGGGGCGGCCGCCTCCCCTTAGGAAGCGTCAGTCTCGTCGCGTACCCTGTACAGGAAGGAGCTTACGTGGATATCGTCCGCCTGTTTCCACGCTCATCGTCGCTAGCCTCCTTCCGATCGATCTCGTCGTTCGCTTGCACGTTCTCCTCGCGTTCCTTCGACGGCGGAACGTGAAATTCTGGTGACCCGGTAGAGTGTCGTCGAGTGCTCGCGTGGACCGAAAGTGCCGACGCGTGTAATCGTGAACTGAATGTTCCGGCCGGGCGTCGCGAGCGTTTCTCGCGTCGAGGCGTAGTTTTACTGGTGCGTCGTGGGTTCCGCTCCGATCCTCGGGTACCGCGATCGTTGCTAAACAGGTGTTCACGAGAAGCAATCGGAAAGCGACTCCGCGTGGAGAATGGTGCGGGGACGCGCGGGTGAATCGTAGTGCGGCTACGCGATGCGTCCTCGTGGCACGCGGCGGCGTCGATGACTTGAGGCCCTCTTGTTGCCTTCGAAAACGTGCGCGACCCTGGTCCCCCCGATGACTCTGTTTCCGTGATATATCCGTACCGGTGCTCCATAAACTGGTCAAGTGCGTGGTGTTCGCAGCCTCGAGCTCTTTGTTTTGTCTGTTCATCGACCTCTACCGTTTCTGATATGCTCCGGGAAATTGGTCGTACGTGACGCGAGAGGTGTTCTAGAGAGTGGAATTCGTACGAAGCTTCCCGCTGCCGATAGCGCGCTGCTTCGACGCGAGTGCAGATTATTGCCAGTTCTGACGGACGATGAGACCGATAACTACGTACCGATTCGCGATCGTTGTCCAGATTTGATAGCGAACGCGACCATCGGTGTTAGGCGGCCACGTTGCCCGCGGCCGGTACTCGTAGCCGCGAAATGCAGTCGAACACGATACTGCGCGACATCGTCAGCACGGAGAAGCTGATGGGAAACAACAACAATCTGAACAACAACGGTTCCCCGGGCACGGACATAATGTTCCAGATGGAGGATGACGGGCTCACGCAGCTGGGTAGCGTCTTTCAATCAGCCTATCAGTCGATCGTTGGCGGTGGTGCGCAGGTAAGAGGGAAATCACGAGACGATCGTTAGGTGTTTCGTTCGTACCTGCGAGGACGATCTCCGTTCTTGATGAAACTTTTACTCGCGAACGAGGTTTCTACCTCGGGGTTATTGGCTCGCCCTCTTGGAACGATAGACCGGATACGCCAGTTGGAAACGAATTCCTTTCAATCTACGAGGGTTTTCACGGTGCACAGGATTTCCTCGTAAATCCGATTGTGCGTCGATTGAAAATAGGAGCAAGTTTACGATATTATCTGTGCATTCGACGGGGCGTGCGGAGCACGCCATCGGTCCACTGACGTCAGGATTACGTCACGAGCATGGCCGACGTCACGTGGGCGGGCACGTCGGTCATTCTTTTTTGTTTCACCGAACAACCCGCGTTGCTTGTTGCGGAATTTTCGAATCTCGATCAACTAGACAAATTACTAGATTCTCAATGATTATTTTTCACCCCCAAATTGTCATTTTATCTCTTCGGGTTCGACACAATTTAGAAAACTCTGCTTCTGACAATAAAGTTCTTTCTAAGAGTGTATGAAATAGAATTAGTTTACTAGAGATAGAAGAGACCTGTTTTGTATTGTTGGAGTCGAGGGTGGATTTTAATAGCAGGATTTATGTTGCATTTTAATTCTCATATCAGTTTTGTTTATATTTTTTCGCATGTATTTGTGATTTTCGATGAACAATTTATTTACTGAGTTCTTCGTGTGTGATTTATTCTTCATATTTTCTCAAAAGCACGATTATCCAATTTCCTTCAGATTATAACAACAAAATTGTTCTATCTTAACTTTTAGAGACAGATTTTGATAAAAAATTTTTGTTTACAAATCATAGTTTAAGACAGTTGAGTTTGTACGCATGTTGCAAATATTTAGAAGTAGTTTATTATACATATAGGTTGATTTTATTGTTATCTATCATTAGTATAAAATTTTGATCATCTCCGAAGGAAATCATTGTGATTAAGAAAAATTTGTAATTGTGACAGAAAAAGCACGTTTCAAGACCCCTTGATTACATCTCGACTGTCAAAAAAAACATTTTCATTCTGAATTTGCATGCATACGTATTATGTATTTTGGGATGTACGTCTGTCAACCCGGTTACGTATTAACAGTAGAATAGATTTCAATGAAACTTTATATTTAGGTTCTACACTCTCGTCCCGAGATCTGGTTAGATTTTTAGTAAATTGTATCCATGGATAATGATTCAATTATAATTTTTGGTTTTTCATATATTCGTCACTCGTTAACGTTTACTCTATCTTTTCTTGTACAGAAAAAATTAAATGCTAATTACATAATTAAACACATAATTGTAATACACAATTATTGTTGCAATTAATATAACCATGAAACTATTTAAATAATTATTATCTTTTAAAATTTCACCCCCGTCTCGACTTACATATTTACGTGTTCTAATTTTAGTTTTATCTCTTACAAATATTGTAACTGTACGTCATGCAAAATTTATTAACACCGTTCGTGGTGTATTTACTTTTCACAATTTTCCAAGAGTACGATAGTCCACTTTTAAGGGTTGTTTTTGACAACAGAAGTTTCAACCATCCCTCGTTTCTTGCTTATTCATGTACCACGGTATTATTTTTATTTTCGGTGAATCTGCTTGCAGCAATGCTGTAACAGAGACGTTTGGGTAATTATAATCAGGCGTTAAGGAATATCAGAAACGCTAGGGAACGTCTATTTCGACTCGTATGGCAGCAGTGACTCATCGTCATCCCTGCATTGTTTCGTTAAATGGAATTTCTATCTAATTTAAATACGGCTTAGCCAGAAATAATGCGATTATGCGTTAGCTTATTCTGTTTGTTAATCTCCTTTGCACACCATTGTCACCCTGACGGCGAGAGAGACGGGGTGATGCGAAGAGAGAGGCCGCTGTGTGTTCCGTGTAGTCCCGCTTCGCCGTTTTGCGTGGCACTGTACATTATTTCAGTACAGTCCGCGCTAGATCCTCTCCGGCTTATGGACTGGTAGCAGCGGTTCTCCTTTTCCGGGGTTGGGACTTTAATTTCTACTTAATCGCGCCTACGGAAGTTTCCCGTCGTTCGATAAATCTTCTCAACGTTTCGCGGCGCGTTTCGTATCGCGGCTACAGTTGCTCGCAAAAGTATCCAGACACCTCGAGCATTTGGTAACTTTAAATATTGCAAGTCTCGAAGCAAATGTTAATTCAAAATTTATGTCAACGCGTTTATTTCCACGGTGATCATCGATGATCAACACATTAAACTTGTAAAATTATTTACAGTAATTAATATAATCTATTTATAATGATCTATGAGGAATTGATTTAAAAAAATTTAATAGTTATTCTTTTTATTTATAAAACATTTTACCAACGATCTTTCTGTATAAGAATTTGGATCGTTCTTTGGTGGAAAATTAATATTCAGAAGTATTGTTTCAAGCATTTTGCTTTGCAATGATCTTAAACAGTTCGATGACTCAATTTTGTACGATCCTCTTCAGTAACATAAATATAAGATCCTAGTAAATCATATTATAATTATTTACACTAGGTAACAGAATGGAAAATAGCTTTTTTATTTAAAAAAAATATTTGAAACTTATTGAAATTTGTACGAATTAAAAAGGATCTTTTCGTATTTTGTTATTGTGTTTTACATTATTTAATAAAGGCTGAAACGTCGATTGAGCAATTGAAAAAAATATATAAATCAAATTATAGCCACCTGGTGATATATTCTTTTCGTTCTCCAAGCTTTTAATAAAATGTTTAATTGTTTGGACATGAGTATAAAAGCTGTGCGTTTAATTGGATGCAAAAAAGAACGATATACATATTACCTCATCAATTACATAAGCTTCAGATGAATATGGACCATATTATTTAATTTATGGATTTTATTTCATTTTGTTTTCGCAACATGCTTGTTTGATAAATTATTTAGCATGAATATTTTTCATGTTTATTTGTACACGATACAACATATTATAACGAACATCATTTCTGTTATAAATTGTTATAAATGCTGAAAAATACATACAGTTTTCGTTTGAATATAATTTTAAATATTCATACTAAAGAAGGGCTGTATTCATCAACCAAAACATACCTTCAATATTATATATTTTTCAATAAAATTGTTCCCATGTTCTCTCTTCATATTTTCTAAACACGAAAGCAAAACGTTACTCTGATAAATATTGTCAGATTCTCTAAAAAAACATTAGCTAATATTTTAGATTTTGATAAAATGAAGTTTCTAAGGATTCTGGGTTTCGAGAATTTTGAGTTTTAAGATCTTGCAAAAGTTTCGAATTCGATTTTGATTTTCGGACCCGTCTCTATTTACAAAGATTCTGAAAGAATTGTTTTGAAATATCTAATGCAGTACGAATTAAACGAGATTTGTTGATTCTGTGAATGTTTGATGCTTTTGTGATGTAGGCCAATTTCGCGCCATTTTCTCGTGGTTTTTTTTATCGTCGTAAGAAATTTGTCTTCTGGAGTCGATTGTTGCGAAAGCGTTTCCGTTCTTCGATCCCTTTTTCGCTTCTTCGAGGCTCGAGAGCCGACTTATTAAGCGCAACAAAAGCCTCGCAATTACAAAAGACGAACGTCACGACACGAGACAACATGTTACAGTAGCCGAGTCCCTGTGGCGTCAGATCGACAGCTGTCGGGCCATTATTCGAAAAGCTACTGGTGCAGCTTCCTTGAATTGGCAATTGCAAGAAATACACCGATTGCTCAATGATACTGCACGTTCTTTGATCGGAAATCCGAAAAAAATTGGCCAGAAACGTGCCTTTTAACTTTAAAATCCGCGTGTATCAATACCTCATCAGAATTTTAGCGATTTCTTTATTCGTTGACAAATGTTTGAACAGAGTCGTCATAGTTTTAATATTTTTATTACCCAATTCTAAATGAAACGAATTTAATCGGTTACAAAAGTCGCGCAGAAATAGAACAGAAAGAAACGAGAAGAATTTATGAACCACGCAAGCAACGCTTCAACTACGTGAAATGTCCACTTTGGAATAATTAAAAATAATAATAACAAAACAATAAAAGAAGGTATTATATTAGAAACTGGAAACCGTAAAATAATAAGAAAAATATGTAAGCAGCCGTGTAAAAATTTACATAGTTTACTATATGAATAAACGAGCTCGGGCAAATCACAAGTTGATTTGCATACAAATTTGCATATTACGGAGAGGAAAGAGGATAAGACAAGAAAGTCGTCCAACGGTAAAATGACAACTGTAGTTTTGAATTATATGCATAGTTCTGCGACAGAAAAATGCCCAAAGAAGTTTACGGTGACCACTAAAAATACACGTTGAGAAATAAATTCTATACTAGAGTAATCTTTAAAGTCTTTCGTATCTTGCATAGATCACGATTTTTATTTAATTTTGTTGGCCTTGGTGCGTTTTGTTAGAGTTTATTTAAATTTTTAGTTTAATATCTTTCGAACGTTACTCATCGCAATTCCATAATAATTATTCTTTTCACGAAGCGATCCATTCTTCTTTTGTGGTTCAGAGCAACGACTTCGGAATCCATTCTCACGCGAACATTTGTTTTCTGGTATTCCCAGTAGGTTAATGCTTGTATTATTGAAACGAGATAAGAACATTATTAGTTTGCCACGTTTCATAATTTTAGAGTCATTTCAGGAGAAATCATTTCCTACAATGACTATTTACAAAATGTAAACAACGTGTAAATTATCGATACAGTATGCTGTAAACTGCTCATTTTTGGAATAATTTAAAATTGAAAATACGTAATAATTAAAGTTTTCAAGTCTGATTTTGCATGTTTTCCTGGAAAGCTATTTTTATTCAAAATTACATTTCAAATCACAGCTTATTATCAATGTTTGTCCATGACCTATTATATAATTTTCTCCGAGGCTAAAAATAATTCCGTTTTTGAAAGATTAATTGTTCCCAAAGTGTCTTCGTTATCTCGAAACA